GACAGAGATCCTACATGAGGAGTAAGTGCACAGTGACTCCTGTTGTTGACTTAACAAATTGACACTCTTGTTTATGGCATCAGTAATCACCCTAGGCTCTTGTCATGAGTTGCCAAGGCTATGGAAGCCTTTTGAGTTCACCGACTCTGATCATATTTAGGCAAGGTCGTAGTCAGAGTGGAAGTTCTCTCCTCCCTTCAGAGAAAGGTACCTCCTTCTCTGATGACCTGTTCTTGCCACTGGGAACTCACTCACGGAGATCTTTCATTTAGGTCATTTTCTTGGCTTTCCATGCCTGAAATACTCTCATGGGCTTTTCAGCTGGATTCGCATGCCTTAAGGACTGGTTCTGAGGCCAGAGTGCTGTTTAGGACATCTGCCATTTTATGAGTCTGCTGTGTGTCTCGCTTCCCATGTTGGATCATTCTCTCCCTTTTTTATTCTATCAGCTAGTATTTGCAGACACTATTTTTGTTTATGTGATCCCTTTGGCTCTTAGTCCTATCATTATGCTCAATTGTGAACAGAAATTGATCACTGGGACTAGTGAGATGGCATTGGTACATGCCACCTTGATGGGATTGAATTGGAATCCCCTGGTATGATTCTAACTCTACTGTTTGGGGCAAGTCAGCTTGAGCATGTCCCAAATTGCACATCTCTTCCCTCTCTTATTCCCACTCTTATATTTAACAGGGATCACTTTTTAGTTAAGTTTCAACACTTAAGAATAACTGTGTATTGATTACAGTATTCAAACAAAAGTATTAAGTAGAACAAACAAAAAAAAATACTAAGAGGGATAATGCATTAAGTTGTTTATCAACAGTCAGGGCAAGGGCTGATCAAGTCACCGTTTCTCACAGTGTTCATTTCACTTCTACAGGTTTCCTTTTTGTGCTCATTTAGTTGTCACTGATCAGGGAGAGCATACGATATTTGTCCCTTTGGGACTGGCTTATTTCACCCAGGATAATGTTTTCCAAATTCCTAACAGGGATCACTTTTCAGTTAAAATTTAAACACCTAAGAATAATTGTGTGTTAATTACAGAGTTCAACCAATATTACTAGAACAAAAAAATACTAAAATGGATAAAGTATTACATTGTACATCAACAGTCAGCAAAAGAGCTGATCAAGTCACTGTTTCTCATAGTGTCCATTTCACTTCAACAAGTTTCCCTTTTTGGTGCTCAGTTAGTTGTCACCGATAAGGGAGAACATATGATATTTGTCCCTTTGGGACTGGCTTAATTCACTCAGCATAATGTTTTCCAGATTCCTCCATCTTGTTGCAAATGACCAGAATTCATTGTTTTTAACTGCTGTATAGTATTCTATAGAGTACATGTCCCATAATTTCTTTATCCAGTCTACTGTTGATGGGCATTTGGGTTGGTTCCAGGTCTTAGCTATTGTGAATTGAGCTGCAGTAAACATTAAGGTGCAGACAGCTTGTTTGTTTGTCAATTTAATTTCCTTTGGGTAAATTCCAAGGAGTGGGATGGCTGGGTTGAATGGTAGGGTTACATTCAGGTTTCTGAGGAATCTCCAGACTGACTTCCATAGTGGCTTAACCAGTTTGCATTCCCACCAACAGTGGGTTAGTGTCCCTTTTTCCCCACATCCTCTCCAGCATCTATTGTTGGTAGATTTCTGTATGTGAGCCATTTTAACCGGGGTGAGGTGAAACCTCATTGTGGTTTTGACTTGCATTTCCCTGATTGCTAGTGATCTTGAACATTTTTTCATGTGTCTGTTGGCCCTTTGGATTTCCTCTTTAGAAAAATGTCTATTGAGGTCCTTGGCCCATCTCTTAAGTGGGTTCTTTGTTTTGACGTTGTGGAGTTTCTTGATTTCTTTGTAGATTCTGGTTATCAACCCTTATCTGTTGCATAGTTTGCAAATATTTTTTCCCATTCTGTCGGTTGCCTCTTCACTTTCCTGACTGTTTCTTTTGAAGAACAGAAACTTCTCAATTTCATGCAATCTCAAATGTTAATTTTGGCTTTGACAGCCTGTGTTCTGGGGTCTTTTCCAAGAAGTCTTTGCCAGTACCTATATCTTGCAGGGTTTCTCCAGTGCTCTCTAATAATTTGATGGTGTCAGGTCGTAGATTTAAGTCTTTAATCCATGTTGAGTGAATTTTTGTGTAAGGTGAAAGGTAGGGGTCTTGCTTCATGATTCTGCACGTGGAAATCCAATTTTCCCAGCACCATTTATTGAATAGACTGTCCTTGCTCCAGGGATTGGTTTTGGATCCTTGATCAAATATAAGTTGGCTGTAGATGTTTGGATTGATTTCTGGTGTTTCTATTCTGTTCCATTGGTCTATCCATCTGTTTCTGTACCAGTACCATGCTGTTTTGAATACCACTCCCCTGTAGTATGTCCTGAAATCCGGTATTGTGGTGCCTCCGGCTTTGTTTTTGTTGTACAAGATTGCTTTAGCTATTAGAGGTCTCCTGTGTATCCATATGAATTTCAGCATCATTGTTTCCAGATCTGAGAAGAAGGTCTTCGGTATCTTGATTGGTATTGCATTAAATCTGTAAATTGCTTTTGGGAGAATGGACATTTTGATGATATTGATTCTTCCAATCCATGAGCATGGAAGATTTTTCCATTTTTTGGTATCTTCTTCTATTTCTTTCTTTAAGGTTTTGTAATTTTCATCGTAGAGATCTTTAATGTCCTTGGTTAAGTTTATTCCAAGGCATTTGATTGTTTTTGTAGCTATTGTGAATGGGATTGATCTTAGAAGTTCTTCCTCAGCCGTGGCATTGCCTGTGTATACAAAGGCTGTTGATTTTTGTGCATTGATTTTATATCCTGCTACTTTGCCAAATTCTTCTATGAGTTCCAATAGTCTCTTAGTAGAGTTCTTTGGGTCCTCTAAATAAAGAATCATATCATCTGCAAAGAGGGATAGTTTGAGTTCTTCCTTCCCAATTTGTATCCCTTTAATTTCTTTTTCGTGCATAATAGCTCTGGCTAAAACTTCCAGAACTATATTGAATAGCAGTGGTGACAGTGGGCATCCCTGTCTGGTACCAGATCTCAGTGGAAATGCTTCCAACTTTGCCCCATTCAATAGGATGTTGGCTGTGGGTTTTTCATAAATTGCTCTGATTGTATTGAGGAATGTTCCTTCCATACCCAGTTTGCTTAGAGTTTTCATCATGAAAGGGTGTTGTATTTTATCAGATGTTTTCTAAACGTCTATTGAGATAATCATATGGTTTTTTTCTGAAGTCTGTTAATGTGGTGTATCACGTTGATTGTTTTGTGCACATTGAACCATCCCTGCATACCAGGGATAAATCCCACTTGGTCTGGGTGGATGATCTTTCTGATGTGTTGTTGCATTCTATTGGCCAGAATTTTATTGAGGATTTTTGCATCTATGTTCATCAGGGATATTGGTCTGTAATTCTCTTTCAATGCTGCATCTTTTTCCGGCTTAGGAATTAAGGTGATGCTGGCTTCATAGAAAGAATTTGCGAGGATTCCCTCTTCTTCGATTGTTCTGAATAGTTTGAGAAGAATTGGAGTTAGTTCTTCTTTAAATGTCTGGTAGAATTCAGCAGTGAATCCATCTGGTCCTGGGCTTTTCTTTGTTGGGAGGGCCTTTCTTACTGTTTCAATTTCTGTCTCAGTTATGGGTCTGTTTAGGTTTTCGATGTCTTCCTGGTTCAATTTAGGTAGGTTGCATGTGTCCAGGAATCTATCCATTTCTGATAGGTTTCCCTGTTTGGGCTGTAGTGTCATTTAAATCTACTGTCTCCTTGTTGATCTTCTGTCCTGTTGATCTGTCTGTTTCTGAGAGTGGAGTATTGAAGTCCCCCAGTACTATTGTATTGGAGTCTAAGTCTCTCTTTAAGTCCCTTAACAAATCTTTTAAATAAACGGTGCCCTGTAATTAGGTGCATATATATTGATAATCTTTAAATCTTCCTGTTGAATTGATCCCTTAATCATTATATAGTGCCCCTCTTTGTCTCTCTTAACAGTTTTTGTGGTAAAGTTTATGTTGTCCGATATTAAGATGGCTATGCCCGCTCTTTTTTCATTTCTGTTGGCATGGTATATCTTTTTCCAGCCTTTCACTTTCAGTCTGTATGCATCTTTGTTGGAAAGATGTGTTTCTTGTAAGCAGCAAATAGATGGGTTTTGTTCCTTAACTCCATCAGCCAATCGGTGTCTTTTAACTGGACAGTTCAGGCCATTAATGTTCAATGTGACTATTGATAAGTTGTAACTTTGCCCTGCCATTTGCCAAAGATAAGTTCTAATATATGCTTTGAATTCCCTGTGATCTTTTGCTGTGAGGTTTCCTTCCTTTACCTTCTTTCATATTGACGACCGTGTTTCTGTGTTTCTGTGTGTAACACATCTTTAAGCATATTTTGCAGGGCTGGATGAGTGGCAACAAATTCTTTCAATTTCTGTTTGCTATGAAAGGTCTTTATTTCACCTTCATTCACAAATGAGAGCTTAGCAGGATATAATATTCTGGGCTGGCAGTTTTTCTCTCTTAGTACCTGGGCTATATCTCGCCATTCCCTCCTAGCTTGTAGGGTTTCTGATGAGAAGTCAGCTGTGGGTCTGATTGGAGATCCTCTGAGAGTAATCTGACATTTCTCTCTTGCACATTTTAGGATCTTTTCTTTATGTTTCACTGTGGAGAGTTTAATTACAACGTGTCGTGGTGCGGATCTCTTTTGGTCGTGTTTACTAGGGGTTCTATGAGCTTCCTGTACTAGGATGTCTCTGTCCTTCTCCAAACCTGTGAAATTTTCTGCTAGTATCTCACTAAAAAGGCCTTCTAATCCTTTCTCCCTCTCCATGCCTTCAGGAACTCCTATTACCCGAATGTTGGGTTTTTTAATAGTATCCTGAAGATTCCCAACAATATTTTTTAGATTTCTAATTTCCTCTTCGTTGCTTCGGTTTGACTGTATATTTTCCTGTTCTCTGTCTTCTAAGTCCAATATTTTCTCTTCTGCTCCACTCATTCTGTTTTTAAGGTTCTCTAATGTGTTTGTCATTTGATCAATTGAATTCTTCATTTCATTATGGTTTCTCCTCACTATCACATTTTCATGTTCTTCTAGTTGTTTCATTTCATTTTGATTCCTCATTAATATTTCATTTTCACGAGTGAGATTATCTATCTTGTCCATTAAGGATTTCTGTAATTCAAGAATTTGTTTTTGATAACTTTTTAATGTTCTTACCAATTTTTTGAGATCCACTTCTTGCATTTCTTCTATCTCATCATCTTCATAATCTTGAATTGGGTGTCTATTTCATTTGGGGGCATCATAGTGTCTTCCTTGTTCTTGTTACCTTGGTTTTTGTGTTTGTTGTTTGTCATATTGGAGATGTTCCTTGGTTTCTTCGCTGTGGTGTTTTTTCTTGTTATACTGTGACTGTAGATTAAGTGGACTGTCTGCTTTTGATGGTTCCTTAGAGGCTGTGATGGGTGTGGCCAGAGAGCTCTGTTTGGTTCTTCAGGGTTAAGGGTGTGCCAAAGGTGACTCACCCAGATTGTTCTCTCAATCGCTTGCTCACTCTCTCTTTTTTTTTTTTTTTTTTTTGACTCAGTTGGGAAGTAATTCTGCACAGCTGAGTGGGATTGAGGGTATTTGATGTATATAATCTGGCCCCTGTGGTATTTGTCTACTTGCCCCTGGGGCCACACAAAGAGTTTATGCAGCCCTCAGTGTGGTCTCAAGTTTCTCCACAGTCTCTCACCAATTTGCCCAGGTTACCAAGTTTGTGTACTTAGTGACTTCTCTTGCCTCCCCCCGCCACCAGATTTTCACAGTCTCAGTTCGTTAGCTCCACACTTTCACTAACTAGGTCTTAACCTCCTGTTATTTCTCCCCACCAGAGTCAGGTTTTTCTGCTTGGCTAATGGCAGGCGCCTCTCTACATACGTAAAATGGCGCCTGCTCTTTGTCTTGCTCAGCTTTGTAAGGTTAGTGGAGAGCGAGGTTAATGACCGTGAGCAAGGCTTGTTTTTCAATTACAAAGTAATTTATTAATCTAAGAACACATATTATATATGTGAATACTGTAATACATAGTCCTTGCCTACAAGAATATCACGATAAGTAGCCTCTATGATGAACACTATGACAGGAGAAGGCACAGTGGGCTATGGAAGCACACACATAAAGCTAACAAGTTTGGGAGGGCACAGATTTTTATCTGCTCCACTACTTTTATCCCCAGAGCCTAAATTATAGCCTGATACAGTAGACAACCAATAATAATAGCTAAATGAATACAGTTATTTATCAGGATTTCCATTTCAAAATAACCATATAACAGGCACCTTTCTTCATATAGACACTTAATAGTTCATTAAGTTTTCATTTATGGTTCATTAAGACATGTATAATAATTATAGAGGAAGTTGTTTATTCAATGTATCATGTATTAGAGCATCATTTGAAAGCTTTAGATATGAGCCTTGCTAGAGTCATAACCAAATGTCTTGTGATACACCACACTTTTTTCCTTGTGGACCTAGGCAGCCAAAGGTGATCCTAACAAGGGCATTAAAAATTTCTTCTTTTGGTCTTCTAAATGTTTTCTCCCAGGTGCTGGATATCACATAGTTATGGAGAAGGAACCACATTGTGATGTAGAGAAGATGTCTGCATTGATTCAGTATTATGTTCCAGATGCCACTTTGGAGAATGATATTGGAGATGAATTGTCATTTATGCTACCCAAAAAGTATACAACAAGGTATGGGTGCAGAGAGCCTAGATGGATGGTTTTGGGGTGACCATAAATCATTTTCATTTTCACATATTTAACAAACTTAGTGAGTAGTATTTTTCTAACTGACCAAGTCCCCAGTTATGGCTGTCATTTGACACCTCAAGTTAGAAAGCTCATAACTGAAGATTTCTCTCACTAAACAGAAGACTGCCTTATGTATTAACTATTTTTCAAGGCTTATTTGAATTTTCCTTTTTGTTTGGTTTGGATTTGTGGGAGGTGGTGCTGAGCAGGGGAGAGTGAGGGAGACATTGCAACCTAGTGGTTATAGCTTCCTGGTATTAATAAGGGGTAACTCATGGTAAGATGTTCATAGTATACCAATTCTCTGCATGGTGAGTAGGATCCAAGGAAGTATTAAGTGTTGAAAGTTAAAAGTAGTTTGGATGACCATTTTGGGAACAGAGATGACAAGAACACAGAGATTAACCTCAGCAGTTCGCCAAATTGGTTACAGTGGGAACAGACAGGATAATTTTAACTGGGATGCCCATCCAATTAAGAGACCCATCCAGTTAAGAGAAATGGAGAGTACTCATCATTGCCCTTAGGAAGCATGCCAGTTTTGTGTTCTTGCCTGAAGTTATTACTACTTGGAAATCCCAAAGGTTCAAAGTGACTGCCATACATGAAAATAATTGTAAACTAATGATTGAAAGAGAAACAGAGGCATACATTTGGCTTAGTGAATAAGACACTGCTTGGTACATCCACATCTTGTTTGAGTCTCAACTGTGCTCCTGATTCCAACTTGCTGCTAATGCACACCCTGGGAAGCAGCAGGTAATCACCCAAGTAGTGGAGTCCCTGCTACCAATGTGGGAGATCTTGATTGAGTTTCTGCCTTTAGCCTGGCTCAGCACAGCTGTTGTGAGCATTTGTGGGGTGAACCAGCAGATGGAAGATCCATGTCTCTGTCTCTGGGTCTCTATGCCTCTCCTTTCAAATAAAATTAATTAATAATAAATATAAAATAAGTTGATCTTATTAAAGCAAAAGAATTTAACCAAAAATCAAGTTACAGTGGAGAATTTGCTAAGTTAAATTTCTCCCATTCTTTCCATTTATTTCTTAATAAGCAGTACAGTGAAGAATGATCTACTAAACATTTTTTCCATGGCCAATTGGGATTTTTATGTAACTAAATATTGAAAATTTAGTTACAGGGGCCGGTGCTGTGGTACAGATAGTTAAAGCCCTGACCTGAAGCACCGGTATCCCATATGGGTGCCGGTTCAAGTTCGGGCGCCGGTTCAAGTCCCGGCTGTTCCACTTCCTATCCAGTTCTCTGCTATGGCCTGGGAAAGCAGTGGAAGATGGCCCAAGTCCTTGGTCCTCTGCACCCGCATGGGAGACCCAGAAGAAGCTCCTGGCTCCTGGCTTCAGATGGGTGCAGCTCCAGCCGTGGTGGCCATCTGGGGAGTGAACCATCAGATGGAAGACCTCTCTCTTTGTCTCTCCCTTTCTCTGTAACTCTGTCTTTCAAATAAATAAAATATTTTTTTTAAAAAAATTTAGTTACAAAACAAATTAAAAAATGGGCAAAGGACTTAAATAAAATTTTCTGCAAAGAAAGTATATGAATGTCCAATACGTACATAAAAACATGTCAACAGCACTAGCCAGTGGGGAAATGCAAATGCAAATGTGAGGATATAGAGAAATTGGAACCCTTGACACATTGCTGGTAGAAATATAAAATGGTACATCTGCTTGAAAACAATATGGCAGTACCAAAAAAATAAATAAGGAATTACCATGTGATGCAGCAATGCCAATCCCAGGTATATAACCCAAGGAACTGAAAACAGGCACTTAAACAGGTATTTGTACACCAGTGTTCACAACAGCATTATTCACAATACCTAAAGTTTGTAAACAACCTAAATGTCTATTGACATCTGACTGGATAAACAACATATGGTATATCTATACAATAAATAGTATAAAAAGGAATCAGATCTGATACATGCTTCAACATGAGTAAATGTAGAAATAAATATGCAGAATAAATGTGCTAAATGAAATAAGCCAGACACCAACAGGATAAAAATTTTATTTTATCTAAATAAAATGGGCAAATTCATAGAAACAAAGAATTGAGAATGCAGGGAAGGGAGAAAAATAAGTTACTTTTTAATGGGTACAGAGTTTCAGTTTGGGTAGTCAAAAGTTCTAGAATTAGATAATGTTGATTGCATGACATTGTGAATGTACTTAAGAGTACTTAAATTGTATACTTCAAATAATTTTAAATGGAGCCAATAGAAATTTCCTCTCCATATGCATATATTTGGCCAGTGGGAGGGGAGGAAGGGTAGGACATTCAACATTTTTTTTTATTTCTTCAGAGGGAAATGGATGGCCAATTTTTTTAAAAAATTTTTTTAAATTTTTGACAGGCAGTGGACAGTGAGAGAGAGACAGAGAGGAAGGTCTTCCTTGCCCATTGTTTCACCCCCTAATGGCCGCTGTGGCTGGCGCACTGGGGCCGGCTCACCACACTGATCCGAAGCCAGGAGCCAGATGCTTCTCCTGGTCTCCCATGCGGGTGCAGGGCCCAAGCACTTGGGTCATCCTCCACTGCACTCCCGGGCCATAGCAGAGAGCTGGACTGGAAGAGGAGCAACCGGGACTAAAACCTGGTGTGCCGGCGCCGCAGGCAGAGGATTAGCCTATTGAGCCGCAGCACCAGCCAGGCTAATTTTTTTTTTAAATAATCACATTAAGAGGTTTAGTACAATAAATGGCCCATAGTGGTTTTTCTCCCAGAAAAGGGGGAAGAGCAATGAGTACAGAATTTCTAGAAGGCAGGAAGTTCTAGAAGTGTGGTATGACCAAGACTATTTCTAGTTATATTAATGTCAATAGAATAATAAATTATTACAGTGCTTAAAAATTAATTTAAATGGTAAATGTTTGCATTCTATAATCTACCACAATTAAAAAGGAAAGAAAATGACTGGTAATATTAAGTAATATTAAATGAGAAAGAAGTAAATACATTTTAATTCAATTAAAATTAACTTTAAAAAACAAAACTTATCTAGACTAATGCCAGTCCATTCTTCCCTCTTTCTTCTCTCCTAGGTTTAAAGATCTATTTAATGAGCTGGAAATGAAACAGAAAGATCTTGGCATTGTCAGCTTTGTTGCTTCAATCACTACCATGGAAGATGTTTACCTTAAGTGAGTAATAATGACCTTAAAAAAAGACTTCCACCCTAAAGTCCAACATCAATTTAAGAACAAACCCCACCCTGTTTGCAGTTAGAGTAATCACAGTGTTACAGTTTTCAAATATGTCACAACTTTATGCTAATGTATTTCTGCATGTTCAGTTGAGAATACCTAAACACTTTCAGCTTGAGCCTTCAAACATGTGTCTTTCTGTCCTAGAGGAATTAGAATTCATCAAAGGGAAAAAAATAAGAATTAATACTTATGTTATCATAGGAAAAGTTCTGTTCTGACTTTGAGTTCATACTAGGAATGATTTTAAAATTTTGACCTAGCCATATTTTTGTAATTTGTTTAATTTATACGTAATTTGTTCCTTGTATTGTGTAAAAATGCCAGCTTCAGTGTTAGGGAGTTCAGGCTATCACTAGGCAATATCAGCTGATTATCTGTTACAAAGATTCACAAACTGTCCTTTTGGTTAAGTTGATGATAGAACTGAGTCTAGACTTCATTCTCTGTAACTCAGAGATTCTATACTGTCAGTATCTTGAAGTGCTCTAGAGTAATTCACTTAAATTAAATTTTTAAAACACTAATGTATGTAAATTAAAAGGTGATGTCATTAATTCATGGTAAGGATAATTCATGCAATAGTTTGAAAGTATCTCCCAATTTGATAGAAACTAATCAAGTGCAACAGTATTGAGAGGTGGTACTATGAAGAGGTGAGTAGGTCATGAGAGCACTGCTCTCATGCATGGATTAATGTTGTCATGGATATGGGGAGTGGGTTCATTATCATGGGAGTGAATTTGTTATAAAAGCAAGTTTGGCCCCCTAATTCCCACCCCCTTGCCCTTCCACCTTTTGCCATGAGATAACACAGCAAGAAGGCCCTTACTAGGTACACTGGACTTCCAACCTCCAGAACCATGAGAAATTTCTCTTCATTATAAACTACACAGTCTCAGATATTCTGTTACAGCAGCACAAAACAAACTAAGACAATTTATAAAAAAGGACCTCTGAGATAGGCATTTGGCACAGCAATTATGACACCACTTGGGACACTTGCATCTCATACCAGAGTGCCTGGATTCAAGTCCAGACTCCACTTCAATCCCAGCTTCCTGGTAATGTGCACCTTGAGAGGCAGCAGATAATGCAGTTGCTCAAGCGATAGGTCCCAGCCACCCACATGGTAGACCAGATTGAGTTCTGGGCTCCCAGCCTCAGAATGGCCCAGCTTAGTCCGGCCATTGAAGCGTATACCAGCAGATGGAAGATGTCTGTCTCCCCATTCTCTCTCCCCCTCTCCCTCTCGCACTTCTCCTTTCAAATATAATTTAATTTTTTCTTAAAAAATAGAAGGGTCTTTTGCTTATTCAATTGAGTATTCTCATCTATTTCTAGAAAGCTGTATAGGGAGCTAAATTATAATTAACTGTGGGAGCACAAGTAGAAAAAAAAAACCTCCCTAAGGCCGGGGAGCTTGTCTGTGCTATTCACTGGTTATATTTAGGCCTTCACAGAATACCTGCCACCTAATGGATATTCATAAAAAGATGACTGAATGAGTGACTACCATTTAAAGTTACTATCGCTGCAGTAGATGCTCCACCTGCAATTGTGAATGCAGGTTAAAACCTTGGACCATGACACCTTCTCCCTCAGCAATTATTGCTAATGTTTGCTTCAGAGTCTCTTTACCTACCTTCTCTTTAGTTTTGTTTGTAGATTCTATCAAATTTTAGTCAAAATGACTTTCTGTCTATAAAGCGAATGTCTCTGTGCTACTCAATCAAGGTAGCAAAGGCAGCAGTGTCAAATAGAGCTGAGATCATAGGCTGACTGCACTGCAGTTTAGCGAAATGGCCTGATATAAGGTGCATGACCTCTCCAAACTTCACTTTAACCTCCCTAGGAAACTAGTGCAAGGATATGCAGTGATTTGTTCAAAGGACATTGTACAGTTACAATATATAGCCCCTTATATGTAGTTAGTGAATGGTACCTTTAGCAATGATAAGATTGATATATGATGAAGACTATGGAAATGTTTAAGTAGTTAATGTAGGTGCTTAATATTTTCAAAGTCATATTCTTTTTTTAAAAAAAATTTATTTATTTATTTATTTGAAAGGCAGAGTTACAGAGAAGCTGAGGCACAGAGAGAGAGAGGTCTTCCATCTGCTAGTCCACACCCCAAATGGCCCCAATGGCCAGAGCTGGGCTGATCCAAAGCCAGGAGCCTGGAGCTTCTTCTGGGTCTCCAATGCGGGTACAGGGGCCCAAAGATTTGGGCCACCTTCTACTGCTCTCCAGGCCACAGCAGAGAGCTGGATCAGAAACGGAGCAGCCAGGACTCAAACTGGCACCCATATGGTTTGCTGGCACTACAGGTAGTGGCCTTACCTGCTACACCACAGCACTGGCCCCAAAGTCCTATTCTTTATTATTGAATTTGAAGACAATAAATCCTTACAGTGACCTGAAGGAGTAGATTATATTATTATCCCCACTTTATAAGTGAGAACACTAAAATGCCAGAGGACTTACTTATTTCCCAAGGCCACAAAGCTAGCAAGTAGCACTTTCTAATCAAAGCTTTTTTTTTCCTTTTACATTTTGAGAACTATATATGTACGTGTGTGCATGTGTGTGTGTGTTTGTGTGTTTAAATGTCTGTTAGGTCCATTTGATCTAAAGTGCAATTTAGGTCTAGTTTTTATTGACTTTCTGCCTGGATATTGAAAGCGGAGTGTTAAAGTTCCCTATTAGTGTAATGAAGTCATTTTCTCCTTTGAGGCTTACTAATATTTGCTTTACATATTTAGATACTCTGATATTGAGTACATATATAGCCATAATTAGTATTTTCTCTTGATGAACTGACCTATTTTTATAATGATCTTATTTGTCTAATTTTACAGTGTTTGAATTAAAGTATATTTTATCTGATGGAAGTGTAACTACTCCTGATCTCTTTTGATTTGCAATTGCATGGACTATACTTTGCTATCCATTCACTTTCAGTCTGTGTGTCCTAACATATGAACTGAGTCTTTGGTAGGTGGTATTTCATTGACTCTTTTCATAATCCATTAATCCATGCTCTGATTTTTAATTGAAAATTTTAATCCTTTTACATTCAGGTGATTATTGTTAAGTAAGGACTTAGTACTGCCATTTTGTCAATTGTTCTATGGTTGTTTTGTAGATCCGTTCTTGCTTTCTTTGACTCTTGTTGTCTTCCTTATGATGAGGTTATTTTCTCTAGTAGTAAGTTTTAATGCCTTGCTTTATTATGCCTAGTGTACTTATTATAGTTTTTGCACTGTGGTTATCATGAGACTTACAGAAAACATGTTACAGGTAAAACAGGTTATTCTAGTCTGACATCAATGTACCTTTGAATGCAAAAAAGAAAAGAAAACCTGTGTACTTTAACTCTTCTTCCCCTACACAATTTGAATGTTTGATATCATGATTTGCATTTTATATTGCCTATACTTTTACCAAATTATACTATTATTTTTAAGTTTTGCCACTTACCTTTCACACTGAGCATATAATGTAATTGATACATCATGAGTACATTTTTACAATATTGGGAATTTGTCTAATTTCTTTTACTGGTGAGTTTTATACTGTCAGATGTTTCTGTGTTTCTCATTAACATCCTTATTTTTTGGTTTGAATAACTCCCTTCAGCATTTCTAGTAAACCAACTCTAGTGGTGATGAACTTCCTAAACTTTTCTTTGGGAATGTCATTATTTCCCCCTTCATTTCAGATGAACAGCTTTGCTGAACACGGTATTCTTGGTTGGCAGTTTTTTTTCTCCCCCAGCACTTTGAATCTATCATTCTACTCTCTCCTAGCTTACAATGCTTTTACTGAGAAATCCACTGAAAGCCATTCTGGGATTATTTAGAAAGTGACATATTTCTTATCTCCTGCTGCATTCAGTATTTTTTCATTATTTTTGATTTTGATAATTAGATTATTATATACTTTAAGAAATTTATCTTTGGGTTGAATTTGGTTGGCAACCTCTGAGCTTCCTGTAACTGAAAGTTATCAGCCAGTGTTTCCTTAAATATGCCTTCTGTGTTTGTTTCTCTCATTTCCTTTAGGACTAATATTAAGTAAAGGTTATTTCAATGATGTCACATAATTTCCATTGGCATTCTCCACTTTTAAAAATTATTTTTCCTGGGCTGGCACTGTGGTGTAGCAGGTAAAGCCACTGCCTGCAATGCCGACATCCCATGTGGGAACCAGTTTGAGTCCCAGCTGCTACACTTCTAGTCAACTCTCTGCTATGGCCTGGGAGGGCAGCAGAGGATGGCCCAAGTGCTTGGGCCCCTGCACCCATGTGAGAGACCTGGAAGAAGCTCCTGGCTTCAGATTGGCCAAGCTTCAGCCACTAAGGAGTGAACGGGTAGATGGAAGACCTTTCTCTCTCTCTGTCTGCCTCTCTGTAACTCTGCCTTTCAAATAAATAAATAAATCTTTAAAAAAAAAAAGAGTATGGAAGAAGTAAACAAAATTATTTTTCCTTCTGCTCCTCGATTAGAAATTTCATATGCCTTATCTTCTTGAATTATTTCCTCTGTTATTAAATGGATCAAGAGAACAGATGAAGTTTGCTATTGAAACTAGTCGATTGAATTTTTCAGTTCAATTTTAATAGTCCTTCTTGCTAGGATTTCTATTTTTAAAACAATTCTTTTTTTTTTTACTTAGTAAATATAAATTTCCAAAGTACACTTTGTGGAATACAATGGGTTCCTCCCCCATAATTTCCCACCCACTCGCACCCCTCCCATGTCCCGTTCCCTCTCCCATTCCATTCACATCAAGATTCATTTTCAATTATCTTTATATACAGAAGATTCATTTAGTATATATTAACTAAAGATTTCATCAGTTTGCACCCACACAGAAACACAAAGTGTAAAAGACTGTTTCAGTACTAGTTATACCATTACTTCACATTG